GCTCCGCGTCTCCCTGGTCTGCTGGGGGGAGCGCTAGCTTCGCGTCTCCCTGGTCTGCTGAGGGGAAGCAGCTAGTGCGGGGTTGCCTCACCCCGTTTGTAAGTAGGGATCTGATGTAAGTCGGATCCATGTAACCCGGGGACTGCCTGTACTTCCCACACTAGGCCTGCAGGTATCTAATGGCTGTTTCCTGAGAATGCTAGTAAGTGCCTCTAGGTCCCAACACCCACTTCTTCACCCCAACCCCCCAACCCAGAGTCCCCTTCCACACCTAAAATGCCTCTGGAGACTGTACCCCATGTCACCCACACACTCTTCAACCTCCTGCCCCAGTCACCTCTAGCTGGAGCCCTCACATACACACGCACACCCAAACCCCCTTCCACACCCGACAGTCCTCTCCCACACTCTGAACCCCTCCTTCCCGGTCTCCCCATATACAGAGCTTGTATGCCCAGCCTTAGCCCTCACACCCCAACTCTCTGCCCCAGCCTATTTGAATTCCACTCCGAAGAAACCCCCAAAATCCCCTCCTTCCATGACATGTCCCTGTGACGGGGCGAGGCAGCCCCGCCCTGAACTAGCAGGGCCCAGCCAGGGTTACTTGGCTGCAGAGGCCCCTCCCCCACGGCCCTACCGAGCATGCCCAGGCTGTAGCTGTGCTATAAAAGCCTGGGGAAGGACTCAGTCTGGAGAGACCGCCGGAGGGATCTCCCACTCAGCTGTTGCCGGGGACTCCAGGAGAGGCTGGAAGGGACGCGGAGGCGAGTTGGTGCATCCCAGGGACTGCCGGCCGAGGGGACGCTGGCCTGGAGCTCGCAGCAAGTTGGGCAAGTACATGGGAAGGAAGCCCGGGGATCCCGGTAGGAAGTGGCCCAGGGCAGGAGCGGGAGCTGCCTCTCCCGCCATGGGAATCTCGGCGCGTTTTGGCCAGATTGCCCCGCCGAGGGAGTGACCCGTTACCCGGGCACTCGCAGGGCCCTGGGCTGGGACCCGGTGGAATAGGGTGGGCCCGGGTCCCCCTACCTGGGGGCCGTCCCCACTACAAGCTATAAACTGTTTTGTGGACTCAGGCCAGAGGGTCTTCGCCCTGCTTAAAGGGCCAGCTATAAACTGTTTTGTGGACTCAAGAGGGCAGGCAGAAGGGGCCCGCCACAGTCCCCTACAGCAGGGTGAGATGATTGCTGATACGAGAGCTTACATAAACCAGCCTTACACTAACAGAGAGCTCCCACATCCTCGTTTACCCAGGTCTGAATGTTGAGGGAAGAGGTCAGAACACAGAAGGGAATCTAGCTCGCTGCTTTGGCCCGGATATGGAACACATTGCAAAAAAGACATATAATAGATATGGAACATTGCCTAGAGTTAATAAAGTGTATTCCTCAGTGCATTCCATGTTCTTACATGTATGAAATAGATGTATTTTTACTGTGTGTTTTGCTTCTTCAACAAAAGCCGGGGAGGGGGGTGAGGAAATGTACATTTTCATTATCAAATAAGGTGCTCATTAAAATTATTTCTGAAAAGTCATGTTAGAATGAGCATAGGTCTGAACAAAAAGAAAAATGGCCAGCCTTGTTATTGTTGGTAGAGTGTCTACAATTGTTGGCATCAAATTCAGGCCTGAAGAGATAAAAAGGCAGAATGCTATCTTTGCTAAGTTCATTTCAAGTAACTCCCAATGTAACGGAATCCTGTTTACAGCCTAACACTGACACACAAAAGGCATTATAATACTAAGCCTTTGTAATTCATTGTTCCATCTGGGGACTCTACTACATTAATACCTTTAAAAGTGACAGTAGCATGTCATTAGTATAACAGTTTGCATCTCCTCTATCCAGATAAATTTTTTTAAAAAATTAGCTACAATATACTAGATGGATTATTTAGCTTTATAGCCAACAGACCAGACTGCAAAATTGCTTCCGTCTTTTTACTAGCAGATAGCTTGATTTGATAAACAGGAAGTGAGAACTCAGCAATTTTTTTTCTTTAGTATTCTGCTTACTCTGAGTTATTAAACTAATGTGAACTGGCTGGCAAATAACGAGATGTGGTAAATTTAGTTACACTGACAACTTTATAGGACATATGATGAAGAAAGAACTTTTCACCATTAAGTCTTCCAAACCAAGAGTCTCAAATGTCACATTAACATGGGAATTAAGTCAGTTAAGTAAATTATATTAAGCTTTTTTCCAGAGACATCAGAAATCCTAATTGCATATTTTTATTATTCAAAACAATGCTATAATATACACAAAAATTATCCATCATGGCACAGGCTAATTGTTGCTGAAAAGGATTGGGGACCTTTTATGACAAAGTCAAAGGGGAATATTAATGTGCACAAAACAATCAAGAAAGAGGCCCAAATACATTTATTTTTATTATTTTTAAACCAAAGGTAGGAAAGGCCCTTTGGGGCTTGTTTTCAGCTCCTAAACTCTACTGAATTTTATTTAAAAATGAGGGCATTTATTGCATATTGTCAAGCCATGGTGGAGTAGTAACCCCACAGGTGTACTTTTCAGAAGTAGCATCTGCAGCATGTTCCCCATGTGGCCTAAACTCCACTACGCTAACGCCACAGAGCCAAGACTTAGAGGATCTTTTGGGGATATCAGGCTGGGGAAAAGGGGCAGATGTTCTCCTGACAGGCAGCAGATACCATTGTGCAATTTATGCTGTTGGATTCTCATAAAAGCTGTTACAGGCAGTCCCCGAGTTACGCGGATCCGACTTACATCGGATCCACAGTTACGAACGGGGCTTTTCTCGCCCCAGAGGACTGGAGCGGCGGGACACCCAGATGCGCTGCAGTCCCGCCGCCCCCATCCTCCGGGGCGAGAAAAGCTGCTCCACGTCTCCCTGGTCTGCTGGGGGGGGAGCCCCCCCCAGCAGACCAGGGAGACCGGGAGCAAAGCCGTGGAGCATGCCCGCAGCGGGACAGCCCGGGCGCGCCTGGGCTGTCCC